AAAAAAAAAAGGAACAATTATACTTAAATTGCACACAATGATTTGCTGCTACTTTTAAACTAATGGCCCATTTGCTCAAATAATTGCAAGGAATTTAGCAAATTATTAAACAAATCTCTCTATCGGACGCCCTACTTTTGGTCACTCACACACCTTGGTGGACTCCCTCTCCAAGAATCGCCATTTGTTCTTCGTTTTGTTCTTAAATTTTGAATTTTGATTCCATATTCGTTCTGTGCTTCTATCAGTAGCTGGGTTGAATTATTTCCTCGATCAAATTCAAAAGATACATTTTTTGTTGCAATCTGTAATCCGTTGTTATTAGGCTGCGCTGCTGGGAACGCAACGGAATTAGGTCTTTGCCGATGAGTTCGAGGTCGAGGTATCCGCCGCCTGGGATGGCAGGCGGCCGAGACGGCGGCGGCGGACTGAACCACCCGCATGCCGGCCACGGTCCTACTTTCAACGCCGGCCACCAGTACGTGCAGAGTGGCCCGGTGCAGAACAATCAAAACCATCAGTTGTTTCAGAACCCTCAGCCACAGCAGTGGTTATTGAGGAAACAGAATCAGCTTCCGCCAGCTGATTCTTCAGTCGACGAGGTGGAGAAGACCGTACAATCGGAAGCCGCTGTTTCGAGGTAAAAGATCTTTCCTTTTCACCTCATTTGTGTTCAGTTCAATGGGTGTTCGTATGTATTGAATGTTGGAGGTTTGTTATACTTGTTGATAGAATATTTGCAGTACTGTTGCTTATAGCTAGTTAACTACTTATGGTGGATACTGGATTGTCTTTTGCCAGTTTTCGTACATTGTCCATGGCTCTGATTCTTGTATAATTTTATATTTTATTTATTTTTTTCTTTCTGTATGCATAAACCAAGACATTGATCTGTTTTCTTCTGTACTATATTATTAGTTCGCAAGATTGGAAGAGGCAGTTAAAACTACCACCTGCCGACACCCGTTACAAAACCGAGGTAAGGATTTTCGGTGGATTTGAAGTCTTTCTTGTTTGAAAGGCGTGATCGTAAGTGTCGTTTTTTTTTTTTT